TAGCCAGGCATGGTCATGCATGCCTGTAGTTCTAGCTACTTGGAAGGCTGAGGCAGAAGGATCATAGCAGGTTGAGCCCAGCAGGTTGTGACTGTGGTGGCCGTGAGCATGCCACTGCTCTCCAGTCTGGGTGACAGAGTGAGACTCTGATTTTAAAAAAAATTGTCTGTTGTTCAGTTTCACACTGATAATGTTGATTATAAACTTGTCTTCCCAGGTACAGAACAAAGCACAAAAATAGTTATCCACCCCCTATTCAGAGATGTTTGCATAACTGATTCTTCCTTTAATCTCTTTTCTCTCTTCAAACATATACCTTAGCTTATGTAAAATACAGATTTTCTGGTCACTAACTAGTCTCACAAGAATGTAACAATTTGCATTACCACCTACCTGCTGCTCTTCCTACATGCCTTCCCCCCTTAAGGAAGTATACAAATACTAAACCACCTGAAAATCTCTGGAACAACAGCTGCGGATGTGACTGTGGCTCATGTTTTTCCTGGACACTTAACAAACCTTGACTGATTGAGACTTTCACCTCAGAGACTCATTTCAGTTATCACGATCCCGGATTCTGTTTTATTCTTCTTCAAAGTGTTGGTTGCTTATTTGCCATTTGTTTGTTCGACGTGGCAGGCTCAAACTCTGTCTCCCTTGAAATGGGCAGCAGTACAAATCCCAGTTCAGTTCTTTTAGCTTTCACTGGTGCATTCCTTGTTCAGAGGTCAGTCAAAAATTTGGGCAATTTGTACACAGAATTTGGTACTCTTGTTCTCTAACCCTTTCCTTTCTATAATTCCCCCCCCTTACTTTCCAGTAGTCACCCCAAATTTGAACAACAGGCTTTTCAAGACAGAAAAAGTTATGAGTTTTCTACTAGAGTTTTAGTTTTCCCTCATGACCAGGTCCTGCCCTTAAGCCAAAGCCATAAAACTGGAAATCTGACCCAGAGCATTCAGCTGTTCTCTTCTCTGACATGCCTAATCCCCTTCAGTATCATTTGCTTTTGGAAGCTCTTCAGTGCCCTCATGAACCTTATTTTTGGTCCAGGGCTGACAGTTTTATTTGTAGAAGTGTTGGTCACACAGGCGCTTACTCAGCCATTACCGGAAGTGGAACTCAGTTATATTATCTTCTACACAGTAAGTAATGCAGTATTTAGTAACTTGACAGACATAGGCTAAAAGTCATCTTATCAACCCATTCAAGCTGCATTATTCAGGACCACAGATCAAGAAAAGACTGGGTAAGACAGGAAGAGATGAAAGTTAACTGATTTCCTGTTATCCCAGAACAGCCTGAGAACTTCTATTCTGGAGGGTTGAGGGGGGAAAATGTGAACTCCACTGGGAATGGAGGTGTGTGATCACCCTGCCTTTGTGGTATAGGCCACACAAATCATCATTCAAGGAAGTCAACTCAACTCTCTGGTCTGCATTTGTGGGAGATGTTAAAACACTGAGAGTTTGTAAAACTACTTGTAGTAAATTAGAATAAAGGGGGAGGGAGAGAAGACATCTTCTTTCTTAGAAGAAGCCATTTAATTTAGAGAAATTTCCAACCACCTAGTTAGGTGCTGGTGTTAAAGCTGGATCAAGTCGGATGTGGTGGCTCTCACCTGTAAACCCAGCACTTTGGGAGATGGGGGTGAGAGGATTGCCTGAGCCCACAGGTTCAAGAGGCAATTGGGCAAATTGGTGAGACCGTGTCTCTACTATAAATCAAAAAAATTAACTGGGCATGGTGGTGCACACCTGTAGTTCCAGCTACTTGGAAGGCTGGAGCCGAAGGATTGCCTGAGCTCAGCAGGCTGAGGCTGTGGTGGCCATGAGTGTTCCACCGTATTCCAGCCTGGGTGACAGAGTGAGACTCTGACAAAAAAAAAAAAAAAAAAAAAAAAGAATTTGGATCAGGTTGCTTAAGGGGTCAGGGGAAAACAAGAGTTTATTCAGTAGATTTAGGGAACACCTATAGAAATGAAGGTATTTAGAAAGCCTCTGTTCCAAAATAGCTCCACTTTCAACCTATCACACTACAGAAAATCCCAGATATTACTCTAATTTCTGTTTTCATCCTACACTATGAGCTTCTTGTAGGTAGAGACTATTTATTATTCATTTTTATGTCCTAGAATCTAGCATCTATCAGAGTACCTGGCAAACATCAGGGATCACTAAGGGCTGTCACATTGAGTCAGATTTACCCATTAAAAAAATTATTATTATTATTTGAGGTGGTCTCACTCTGTCACCCAGGCTGGAGTGCATGGCACAATCATGGCTCACCATGCCCTCAACCTCCTGGGCTCAGGAGATCCTTCCATCTCAACCTCCTGAGTAGGTGGGACTACAGGCATATGCCACCATGCCAGGCTTATTTTTTAATTTTTTATAGAGACGAGGTCTCACTATGTTATCTAGGCTGGTTTCAAACTCCTGGGTTCAAGCAATCCTCCTGCCTTGTCTTCCCAAAGTGCTAGGATTTCATGAGCCACCATGCCCAGCCAGATTTTAATTTCAGAAAAATTAAAAGACCATAGACATAATTGAGAGGGCAAAAACACAATGGGTTGGCCATACTACGTAAAGTACTCTGAAAAATTCATAAGAAAAATATATTATTTCAAGTTGGAAAATTCATAAATCCTTTACAAATAAGAAACACAAACAGACAATAAACATATAAAACCGTATGTATTCTTCTTTAGGAACCAAAAATACAAACTAAAACCATCATACACATTTGCAACTCTCTTCATTTGGGTCTCTGGAGACACAAAGGTACTTGATTGCCAAAAATAAGTCTTGAGATCCCATTATTATTTCTCTTATCCAAACCTAGATCAGAGAGAAACTCAGGCTATTTCTCCAATCCACTCCTCAAAATAAAAGGCAATAGAGCCTGGGTTTTCATGTTGATGCCTTTGTGACTTCCTGGTTTTATACACTAAGAAGGCTATTTTACCAGACAGAGTCTCAGTTTCCTCTCCTGTAAAATGGAGGTGGTCGTGCCTTACAGAGAGCTGCAGGATGAAATAAAGGGAATGGTATGATGTGTTAGCACAGAGCCTGGCACAGAGTAGGTGATGGGACCTCTCTTATCTGGCTCAGGCAGCTGCTTTATCCAAGTCTCTCATCCTCATTCACCCCCCTCAAGGAGAAATCCCAGCTCTTCTAATCACTTTCTCTCCCTTTTCAAATTCCAGCCCTTCTTGTCACCTTCTATCCCTTTTTTCTCCTCAGCTTTTGAGTCTCACCATTTCTAACATCTCACCTAACAGAGAGGATTGGATACATTTGACTCAATGCAGTTTTCTTAGCTACTCCCCTCCTATTGGACACCTGGGTTGTTGCCACTTGCTTTTACCTATAAGATGTGCTGCAAACCAAATTCCCAAACTGTGAAGCTTTCTGCTCTGAGAATTAACCCTCTGTGTTAATGAGGAGTTGGTCTTCCAGAGTCTCAGTTCTTATTGTAGTCTTGAAATAATTTTGCTCTGTCTGCATCCTCTCTTTTCAAGGCTGTTCCAGGACACAGTAAGTTCCCTGGCACAATCCTGCCATCAATATTTCTGCACTTTAGGGAAAAGAAGGAAGAAAGGGAGGGAGGGGAAGAAGGAGGGAGGCCTAATAAATTCTCACTAGATATTTGTTGAATAAATGAAAGAATAACTCTGGGATTGATGCTGGGTAGGATGCAGTATTGTTACTCTGTAGGTTCTTTGGCTTTGCCACAGAAAGGAATTTCAGAGCAAGTGCAAATTGTAGTTTAAGAATTTATTAGAAAGAAAAGGATGTGCTCAAGAAAAAGCATGGGTACCTTGAGAGGGCACGTGCTTGCCTTTGACAAGAAGCTTTGTATACTTTTACAATGATGATTAAGTAAATCATGAGCTAAGAGTGGAAGGCTGCAGGGTCTGGTCACAAGTTTTGATTATCATCTCTCAACCTTTTAAGGGACCTTCTAAATAATCTCTCTCAGGGAACTTCTAAATAATGAAAATTACTGCTTAACTAGATTTGGACTTTTCTTTTTTTTTTTTTGAGTTGGAGTCTCACTCTGTCAACCAGACTGGAGTGCAGTGGCCGCTCCCGGCCATGGCAGCCTCGACCTGCTGGGCTCCGGTGATCCTTCCGCCTCAGCCTTCCAAATAGCCGGAATTACAGGCATGTGCTACCACGCCCGGCTGATTTTTTTATTTATTGTAGAGATGAGGTCTCACTGCCCAGGCGGGTCTCGAACCCGTGGGCTCAGGCAATCCACTCACCTCAGCCTCCCAAAGGCGCAGGACTACAGGCTGAATCACCAAGCCCGGCTGGACTTTTCTTAGAAAATCATGTCTGTGCTTTGGGTAAGTCCCTGTTGTTTCTGTGATTTACTGCACTGGTAGTCCCACATTCTAACCTACAAGGTGGTCAGGTCTGATATGCCTAGTCTGTCAGGTGAAGGTCATATATGTGTATGGATAAGAAAGATGTCCAAACACTTACCCTACTTTAATTTAGACCTGCCTAAGAAAACCTGCCTACTTCTAAACTATGTTAACGATGCCTGCCTCAGGGTCACTAGCTCTATTTTGTAAATGAGGAACTAAGATTCAGAAAGGTTAAATAGCTTGCCCAAGAGCACAGAAATTGGGTCCAAGTTTGAATCCAGTTTCACTGTTCTTTTTCCTATATCTACTGGGTGGGAGAATAGACCAGCTTAGTGCTGCTCAAGTGCCAATCTGCAAGAAAAAGGGAAGCCTATGACAGAGTGTAAAGCAATGCATTGCTTTCTTTATCAAGAAAATCTTGATATGGAAAAAAAATGTAAACAATGTGCTTGGTGGCTTTATGTTCTGGCACAAGTTCCTAGTCTCATGACAAACATTTGGTGAATTGGACCAGACCTTTTTGTAACATCGGTCCTATTGAACTCTAGCTTTTACCGCATGGCTTTAAACTCTACATCTCTGTCATTTCAGAAGCTCTCAACGTCTCTGCTGTCTGGTCCAGATGGAGTCCTCAGGCTTCTCAGAGTCCACCACCACTTTTGATTATGATCTTTATAGCCTTGAATGTGAGAACAAGACCTTTGTCTTTGCCACCTTCACTGCCACCATCCTGTACTCCTTGGTGTTTCTCCTCAGCCTGGTAGGCAACAGCCTGGTGCTGTGGGTCCTGGTGAAGTATGAGAGCCTGGAGTCCCTGACCAACATCTTCATCCTCAACCTGTGCCTCTCAGACCTGATGTTCTCTTGCTTGCTGCCGGTGTGGATCTCAGCCTTCCACTGGGGCTGGGTGCTGGGGGACTTCCTCTGCAAGCTCCTCAGCATGATCTTCTCCATCAGCCTCTATAGCAGTATCTTCTTCCTGACCGTCATGACCATCCACCGCTACCTGTCTGTGGTGAGCCCCCTCTCCACCTTGCGTGTGCCCACCCTCCGCTGCCGTGTGCTCATGACTACAGCTGTGTGGGCAGCCAGCATCCTGTCCTCCATCCCCGATGCCATCTTCCACCAGGTGCTTCCCGGGGGCTGTAAGTACTTTGAGCTCAAGGCGTTCCTTGCCTCAGTCTACCAGCACAATACCTTCTTCCTGCTCTCAGTAGGGATCATCCTGTTCTGCTATGTGGAGATTCTCAGGAAACTGGTCCGCTCCCGCTCCAGGCGACGCCACCGCACAATCAGGCTCATCCTCACTATTGTGACTGTGTACTTCCTCAGCTGGGCCCCCTACAACCTCCTCCTGTTTCTGCAGACACTGCTGAAGTCTAGGGTCATCCAGAGCTGCGAGACCCACCAGCGGCTGGAGTATGCCCTGGCCATCTGCCAAAAGATCGCCTACTCCCACTGCTGCTTCAACCCGGTGCTCTACGTCTTTGTGGGGGTCAAGTTCCGCACGCACCTCAAAAATCTTCTCCTCCGTCTTTGGTCCGGCCGGCCACAGGCACCCGGCCCTGCCCCATGCCTCCATTCCCCTGGAGCCTTCACCTACGAGGGTGCCTCCTTCTTCTGAGGGGACTGTGTGACCTTGCAGGCGTCTGTGGACAGAGGCTGGACCAGGTTAAGAAGAAGTAGGCCAGGAAGGAACACTGCTGAGGACACAGTGGTGGGGACACCACCTACAGCTCCAGGGCTGGGAGGGAACAATTTCATCACACCAGTGGGTTCCGTGACCGCAGAAAAGTGGCTTCCCACCTGGGAACTTTATATTGTCATCTAGAAAAACATTTATTAGACTGAGTTCTTCATTCATTCCTTCATTTAGACATGGATTTGTTATCAGTGCTTGGATCAGAAGGTTCTAAAACATGAAAAGATTCTGGGAAAAGAGCTTCCTTCCATACTTCAGGAGATCCTGAAGCTAGCAATGTGTGTGATAATCAAGTAGGTTGCTGGCAAGGCAGTGTCTCACTTCCCTGACTGTAGGGGTGTCCCAGCTGATTTGTCCACTTTGGAAAAGGCTGACTCTATTTCTCAGTGACTGCCAGATGAGGCTGTCAGCGGGACAAGGGGAAACATACCCTCAAATAAGCATAGTCATGATGAAATCTCATTTTAAAATTCCGCAGCTAGAATGGCCATATCAGGCCGGGCATTGTGGTTCATGCCTGTAATTCTAGCACTTTGGGTGGTCAAGGTAGGAGAATTACTTGAGCCTGGAAGTTTGAGGCTGCAGTGAGCTGTGATCATGCCACTGCACCCCACTCTAGGCCACAGAATGAGACTCCAACTCAAAGAAAAAAAAAAGAACAGAGACATATTCTATATCCTGGCTTCATTCAGTTCCTGGCACATGAACTAGGCTTTAAATATTTAGTCCATAAATATTTTAGTGAAGGAATGAGTGTAATTAGTGCTACCTTCTGCACAAAGTCTTAATTTAGAGGATACAAAAATGAACAAGATACAGTTGCTAGCCTCCATGTGCCGAGTCCAGCCCTGAAGGTCCACCTACCTTGGCAAATACCCACGTTGGTGAAGGCATTAGGGTAAAGATTCCAGCAACATCTCATCCCTTCCAGGTGGTTAGTGAGCTAACCTCATATTTATTACTTCACACCTAAAATTTCCTTCTTCTTCTCGATTGATGCTGTTGGCTTTCCCCAGTCACCCACACTCCAAACCTCGTGTCCTCTTGAAGTCCTGTGTTTTGTCTCCCTCGATTCCCAAGCCCAGGTCCTATTGATTGTGTCTTCCCTGTCCTCTCAATCTTGTTCTTGCCATTGCACGCCAATGACTCCATCTCAGAAACAGGGCATCACTCCCTCAGAGTCTTTCTGCTGCTCCTCTCTATCAGGCTGTCCTCTTCCCTGACACCAGGGTGCTTCAAAACCTTTAGTGGCTCCTCTTCCCTTCCAAATAAAATCCAAACACCTTGCAAGGTTTCGAGCTCTCCATAATCTGATACCAACCAACTTTTTGGTTCTTATTCTGTTCTAAGCCTCCTCCCCCTAGGAGCTTGGGATTCACCCCCAAAAGACTACCAGTCTTCTTCCAGACACACTTTCCCCCAATCTCCTACCTCTGGGCCTTTTTCATGCTGCTACCTGGATCTAGAACACTCATCCTTCTCTGCCCCAGTCTACGTGCCCCAGCTGAAATGACCAGCTCCGCCAGGAAACCCTCCCCAATCTGCAAATTAGAAGGACACTCTCTGGGTTGTGGGAACACTCTGCTTGTCTCCTCTAAAATAGCATTTATGAAGCCTGGCATGATGGCTCACACCTATAATCCCAGCACTTTTAGAGGCCAAGGTGGGAGGATTGCTTGAGCCTAGGCATTTGAGACCAGCCTAGGCAACAGTGCGAGACTTCATCTTTACAATAAAATAAAATAGCGTTTGTCACTCTCCACCTTGTGTTGTAATTACACACATACATGTCTTATCCCCCTGCCCATCAGACTGCAAAGAGCTTGAAGGCAGACACCTTGTCTTGAGCGCTGATGTTCTATCACCGTGGGCTAAGTGAAAGCAAAGAATGACAGCTGTCATATTCTTCAGATGTACAAGAGGGTACCCAAGAAAAAACAGAATTATCTTTTTTGGAGGGCAGGCCCCTTGTAGTACAGGCTTCCCCCGCGAGGTGAATGTTCTAGGAACCCAGCTAGTGTTCTTGTGATTTTTTTTTTTTTTTTGAGATTCTTTTAACACATTTGCCTATTTCATGACGGGTAATTACGAGTGCACCTGCCCACAGTGCTCTGAGTATTCAGCAGTTTTTAATCAAAAAACAGCATGACCCCTGTTCCCCACCCTCCCTATTCACCTGATACTATCCTGAGCAACATTTTTGTTTCCCCGGCTGAAAAAGACCTCAAAGAGAAATGTTTTGCTAATGTGGAGAGGTAAAACAGAAAACAGAAGCCCTAAAAGGCATCTACATTGACAAGCTCAAAAACTGTTTTCAGCTGTGGAAAAAAATGTCTCAATAAGTGTATTGCATGAAACGAAGAGTACTTTGAAGGTGACTGAAATTTAGACATGTAAGAATAAATACACAATTTTTGAAATAAATAAATTCCGAGGCTTTTTTGGTCCCCCTCATAAGCTTCTTGGGGGACAATGCCATGGGGCACACTCTACCTTCTCTGCCCCAGGCTGTTCCCCTATAAACATTAACCTTTCTTTCAGAGCACATTGCTTTTCCCTCTCTGTGACAATGACTATGCTTGTCTTTGCCTTCTAGTTAATGGTACAGTGCCTACCTCTCACACTTTCATTGCTTCACACCCAAGGGCATAGATAAAAGCCACACTGTAAACTGCCATGCCACTGAGACCTGGGCCTAATCTGTGAACCTGATTCAGCTCTAGAGTGGGGATTTGAAAAAGCTCCTCATATGATTCTGACATGCACCCCAGTTAGAAATATTTGGATGAAACTTTGTAAAATGGGGAGTCCAGAGCCTTCCACAGTCCATTGAATAGGACATTGCCCTCAGAAGGCACTCAATTTATGCTTACCAAATAAATTACCAATTCAGCCCTTAGCTACATCCTAGAGAGCTTGGAAGGCATTTTTCCTTTTAGTTCCAGCTGCGACTTCAACAATGATCTATTTGCCATTGGGTAGAGGAGTTTGGCCTGTCTAGGGGAGAGCCAGGGTCTAGTTTTAATAATAAAGCCAGTTGCCCCTGCTGGCGAGAGCTAGGTAACACACCAGTGAAGGAATGGGGCTTTTGTGGACCTGCTAACCTATGGTGGGAGGGTATTATTCACCACTGACGGAAGAAACAGCAGAAGAAAGAGATAATGAGAGAGTTTGTAGGATCAGAGCTAAGCCTATGGTCTTCTAGTCAGTCTAATTTTTCAAGCATCCTTTCAAACTGATTCTTAACATTTTGTTCAGCTTTTTGTTTTCTTTTTAAGACAGAGTACCACTCTGACACTCAGGCTGCAGTGCAGTGGCACAATCCCAGCTCACTGCAGCCTCAACTTCCTGGACTCAAGCAATCCTCTCATCTCAGCCTCCCAAGTAGATTGGACTACAGGTGCATGCCACCATGCTTGACAATTTTTTTTTTTTTTTTTTGGTAGAATTGGTATCTCACTATTTTGCCCAGGCTGGTCTCTAACTCCTGGGCTCAAGCTATCCTCCCATCTCAGTCTCCCAAAACCCTGGGATTACAGATGTGAGCTATCTCATCCAGCCCTTGTTCAGCTTTTCTTCAGGATGCAGAAGGGCACAGGGTTTATGCTCACATACCCACTTGGTCAAAACTAAAGCACCTTGGGCTTTAAACCTTCCCTTCTTAGAAGGCAGGCTTGGGGGTTGATGCCCCTTGAGGGGCTCACTCCACCCTTTCCCCATTCCATTCCATTTCACTCCTACCCATCCAAAGATGCTTATCTGAGTATTTCTTTCAACAATATAGTCGAGTCCCTGGGAGATTTTATTAAAATACAATCATATCTGTCTCTTTACATTTCTAGCAATGTTTTGGCATCCCTAATAGACTGGCTCCCGAGGCAACCTTTAATCAAGAGTTGTCCCCTAATCTAGCTCCTCGGGACTCCAAGGGGAAAAAAACACAAAGAGAGAGAGATGCAAATGGGAATATACAGGGGTACCCAGTCAGAAAGAGTGGCAGGTGAGACTGCTGGAAAGGAGCAGCCAGAGAACTACATCCCTGGGTCCATGCTGTCCTTTGGTAACCACAACCTCCACTGACCACCACCTCCTGCCCTTCCCCTCCTTTCACCCACTGAAACCACTGTTCTACCTCAACCGCAGTCTTGCAGGCCTCCAACAGAGGTGTCCTGGACACAGAGCTGCAGACCTCTTGCCACTCCTGGAGCACAGCAAATACACAGTGGCTCCTCTTCAAAGCATTTATACCTCCACATTCCCTCAGATGGAATCGGAAAGAGTGGACCCTCATTGATCTCTGAAGTGGAGCATGTCTCCAAGCTCAGGGCAGCCTGAGACCTCCAATAGGCTCACTTTGAGTGGAAATTCCTCAAAGGCACAAATGCAATTTCTAGAACCTCCCTCCCTCAGTGCCTGACAATGTTTGTGGTTGTCTGAGTGAATGAACAGGTGACCATCTTTTGACTTTTTTTGACTTCCATTTCCTCTTCCCACACTTGCCCACATTACATCTTCCAGTCAAGAACATGCACTCACCCCATGGGCTTCTCATGAGCTTCTTCTCTAGAACCCACCAGCCCAAACACTGCGTGGTTTGTTTGGAATTAAGCTTTTTTTAACTTCTAACAACTTTTCATTTGTGAAACTTGCCTATGACAGGACAAAGAGGCCCACAACTATGGAAAGAGATTCCCAAAGTAAACTGTCTAAGGATGCTCACAGCATTTGAACCCTAGGCCTAAACCCCAAATCTAAGCTCTTTCCCACTGTGAACTTGGGCCTGTCAAAGGCTCATTTTCCTCACCTGTAAAACTATAGTGAAGTCAATAACAGACTCACCCACACTATGGGGGTATACATGAGGTCATATATGTAAAGGTTCTTGTTTTGTAAACAAAGTAAATCTGAATTATCATGTGATC